ATCTCAGAGTCAACATTTGTAAGTTAAGTCTAATTTTAGTTTAATTACCAATTTATGCATTTTTTTTCTGCTTTCTAATAGCAAACAGTACATTCCCATGGGGCTGAATCAATCACACTAACATGCAAAACCATCCGCTTAGTAACAGAGTTTCCTAATTCAAAGGTAAAGGCAAACAGAACAGCAATAATCAGAAAGCAAGCATCTGAAATGCTCCACTGAACTCTGCCCAGGAAATATAAGAAAAGATTTTCTTCTACCCTCTTCTCCCCCACCAAAGACAGCTTTCTAGTGCTCCTGGCATCCATCACACACGCAGAGTCAAATGCTTCCACACTTGCTAATAATCAGTGCAAGAAAACTGCAGATCGGGGGGAGGAGAAACTATTCTTTCTTCATTCTGGCTAAAGGCGATCTTAAAATCTGAAGAGTGCATAAGAACTTAGTAGAATCTTTCTCCACCATTTTCCCTCTCTAAGCAAGCTAGGTACACCTGCAGCACTTCTACACTTCTTGTTTTCTGGAGCTCTCTGTTTTGCCATGCCCATGTTGCAGCCAGGCTTCTTCTCAAATGACTGCTTCTGTAAGCTTCTACCTATCTCACCTGCTGTATTGCTCAATCACCTACTTATACAGAGTCATCTTCCAAATTCTCTCAGACTTCATCTCAAACTCACCTTCATCTCCAACCTTGTGCTCACTGTCACCCCAGGTTAACAATAGTTAAGTTACCCTCCTCTACATTTTTGACTCTCAATGTTTGCTGCAAAATAAAATGAATACGAAGAACCATCTTCAGCAGAATAACTTTCCATGGTAGCAAATATAAAGGATTTTCCTTGATGTCACACAAATGGCTTGGGTTGGATGGGACCTCAAAGATCCCACTGAGTTCCAACACACAGCTGTGGGGAGGGTGGCACCCCACTAGCTGAGGCTGCCCAGGGCCTGAGCTGAAGCACCCAACCTGGCCTGGAGCACCTCTATGGGGCACCCACAGCTTTGGGCAGCAGTGCCAGGGCCTCACCGCCATCTGAGTAAAGAATTTCTGCCTAACATCTAACCTAAATCTCCCCTCTTTTAGTTTAAAGCCATTCCCTCTTTTTCCATCACTATCTGTTTTTATAAAACATTGATCCCTTCCTGTTTATAAGCTCCCTGCAAGCATACAAAAACATGAATAAATACAGAGCAAAGCAATACAGATGCAGGGAAGTAAACTTAGGCACTGCAGGAACTAGGTTGGAAATATAAATATATACAAATTATGGTTACAAGGACACAGAATAAAGTCAAAACCAAATATAGAAGAAATCTCCAGATGCCTAAAGATTAGGTTTCAGAATAGCCATTGTACCTTTTCTATCTGAGAAACAGTTTTCAAAAGTCTAAGACATAAAGACTTAATCAGTCGTAGTACTTTGGTCATATCTCATCTGTAAAATGATCTATTAAATTGCAGGAATAAAAGTGAGGTTTTTATTCAAGCTTCTCCAGGAAGAGATTCGTTTGAAAGAGGTCAGTTCAGTCTTTCAGTCAAGGTAAACTCTACTGTTTATTTAAAAAATACAGAATGAGGGAAAAATGACGGTGGGCCAACACAGCAAAATTTCCCTACGGATGCAACAAAGCAAAAACCTGCAGGTCAGCTTGCTTTCAGCTGGGAAAAACAAAAGCAAAAATTGCAATCTGTCTGCAATTCATAAGGATGAATCACATGGTGATGATTCAAACTGAACTGTTGACAAAGTCAGCCTAATGAAAAACCCTGCTCAGAGAAGGGTATCAGCACTGAAGTTGGTTTTGGCAGAATTCAAGACACCAACCTACAAGTCTGGTTTGTCAAGGGTCTCTGTGGCAGAGGAGAAGAAGGTGGACCAGCAACGAAATTATTTCCATTATTTTGTATTTTGCTCCTGAAATCAGCAGCTTGCCCTTTCCATCCTCACAGCCCCATTCTGTCCACACGCCTTCCTGCTGTTAATGCACAATTACGATTTAAATACATTGCCTCTAAGCTTTTGAGTCACCAATGGTCATTTAGGTCAATACATTTGTTTCTTCTGCACTTTTGAATATTTATGGTCTCAGTGTTTTTCCACTTCTTAGTCCCACTGTAACTCAATTCTGAGCCTCCTATGGCAAAACAACAAATGCCAGGCAAACCACATGCTGTGCTGCCCATCTGCTTCCACTGACGCCTTTCCTGTTCACTCCATGTTTCATCCGCTCTGTGCTTTACATGATCTTCATGGCAAAGTTTTCTCATTATTAAGTCCATCTATCCTGATGAATCAGAAAACAAGAAGAGCAGCACCATCCATTACCAGAGCAATATCCATGACTGTCAATATATAGTTTCCTCCAGTGCTCATCTGCACTAAGCTCTTTTACTCTAGCACAAAAATAAGGAAAAAAAATGCAGAAAACTTTCAGTGCGCAACTGTTTGCCATGCAACTGGGGAACAACCTTTGGGTGGTGACACCACACAACCAGCAAAAGAATACAGTCACTTCTACCTGCTGTGACAACAATTTCATCAAAGCATGATGAAAAGCTCCTAGCATTTATGAAACAGCCTTGACACAAGTGCCTGTAGTGAGAGTGCAAGGAAGAGAGAATATCTACGAGGGAAACCATGAGTAGGGAGGCATGAGTGCAGAGCAATTGCAGAAATTGTGCTGGATTTCTCTGGAAAGGCAGGAGCAGCACAGATATCAATGCGAGGAGGTGGAGGCTGGACCACAGGGCACAGATGTAATAGAAAATTGAGTAACAGAGGATAAGCAAGTAGAGAAGGAGCTAAATCAATCAAGTAATTTTGATTTGATCCAGCTTCAATGGGGAAGGCCAATGGAGCAGCTCTTACAGGGACTTAAGGAGTACTTTTTCAGCCTCATTTTACACAGGATGAAATGATGGTAGAAAAATTAACCCTGCATGACATGGTGCCTGCTGCAGGTCTGCTTTGCTGGGTCTGCCCCAAAATGCTTCTCCCAACACTCTAATCACTTACAACTGAATATATTCACACAGACAAAGCCTCTGCAGTTCCTTTCCCCCAACAGGAGGGTTTCATGAATTCATAAAACCTCTACAGGCTCAGCCCTTTTTACCACTCTCCTTCATCCACTGAAGCAAGTCTTTCTGAGATCAGTAATGCCCCACCTCCATCCACAAACCTTCAGAAGTCACAGCACATGTGGGTGATCTGTGACTTTATGCAAACATGTTTGGTTTACAGGAAATTCATTTACACAGGAACAGCCAAAGGAGGCTCACTTTCTGCCTGGGTTTGGTAAAGAACTTCTACCCATTTGGAGTACATGTTCTTTGTTCCATGCTTTTCCCTTCTTCAGAGGAAATATGTGCTCCCATAGCTGTCTCCATGGAAACAGCAAACTTGCAGTACACCATGTGCCCAGTTTCAATATGGAAATCTGTATTTCTTAACACAGAGTGATAAAAACTCAAGCTGGGATCAGAAAGGCTGGTCTAGTCTCTTCTGGTTCATTTGTCACCACCAGAAAAGTTCCTGTGGGCTAACTTATGCCACACATGGCAACATCTGTGCAAACCTACTGTTGATGAACAACCAGTTTGGACTTCAGTTACACTTGATATAGTGGAAGGATTAGACAAAACTTTTAATTTGCACACTTCATTAATCCAAATAGCACCAGCTCAGTTTCCAGGCTACCAAAGCTGCTAATGGAGATGAAACTAAGTATTCTGCTTCCTTCCTGAAATGTGTTTTGAGACCAAACACTGAGCAAATTTGAAAGAAGTTACAGAAATTTTTACCAGTTTTTATTTTGAGGAGAAAAAACTGCACACATTTGCCAGTAACCTGCTTTGGCTGCTTTGTGTGCTTAAATCCATTATTTTCCCAGCCAAACTGCAGGTACAAGTCTCCTTTCCCTCTTGGGAACTTAACAAAAGAGCCAAAGGTTCAGTTCTGAGTCGTATCTTAATTTTATGGCAGTGGTGTTAATTCTCATTACTCTGAGTTCTGATCATTCATACAGATATAAGAGAAGCAATTAAAAACGACTTTAACCATAATGTTAGAGAACCATTCTGCTCCTGGACATCCTGAAATTCTCTAACGGGAACTGAGCTTGTTTCTACATGCTCAGTTGGATTTGGTCCCCAACACAGTGCTGCATTCCCCTGCAAGGTCACATCCAGTGAGAAAATGCAGCAAGATCTAGACCTCTATTAAGCTCAACTCCCAACGGAGAATTGGGCTCCCTGAATCATTCCATCACTTGCAACTTTCAGACCATCAATGAGGATGCACAACAGCTGCACAAACAGAGCACAGGTAGAGAAGAGAGGATTTGCCTTCTGGCTTGGGAAAACCGGCCCAAGCGTAATGAAGTGTATAGCTTTTCTACAATCATTTGTTCAGCTCCATAAATCCCAGGGCATAAATCAGGCTGCCGGGGAGAGCAGCTGTGCAGGAATCTCTGCAAGAGTGGAAAAAACACTGCAACCACCTACAGCATCAGAGCAAACCGTCGGGAGCTGTGCTGGGTGCCAGACCAAACGCTGCTCTCATTTCACATTGTGTTACTGCTGTTGATTTAAAAGGAGTCCCTCAGTTGTAATACCATAAATATCAGCAGAATGACTCTCACTGGCAGCCTGAAGTGAATATTAGGCAAACAAAATCCAACACTCTATAATTGTCCTTCACTCAACAGTACCTGTTTAAATTAATATTATTATGGCAAAGATATTGAAATTGTTACCAGAAACCCAAGCAGAGACTGCAGATGCTAGAACTCTCCACCAGTAAATGTTCTCCTTGCCACTAAATACCTTCCCTTTCAAAACAGAAACACCACTTACGGCAGCTGACATCCAGAAACCCATGGCTGATCTGGATATGCAGGAGGGTGCGCTGTGAGCAAGGACAGACATGGCAAACAAGGAGAAATACATGACAAAGGCCCTGGGGAAATCACGAAGGAATAGCTGAGCAGGGACCCACCTTGGGGCTGAGCTGACCAGGAGGTCTCATCCCACAGCACTGAAAACCACGGGACCAGCGTGTGTTGGAGCTCACCACTGCTGCAGGCTGAAGAAATGTCTCCTGTGAGGGCAAGCACTCAGCCCAGCCAGAAAGAACTCCTGTTGGTAACAATCAGAAAACAGTTATGGAAAAGAAGCCAAGAGAGACCAACAGGAATATCAGTCACATGTCTGATGAAAACAGAAATAGTGTACTTGTCATAAATACAGTTCTGGAGGATCTGAAGTTACTTCTGGCCTTGGGTTGAATTCAGCACGCAGATTTAGCTGTTCAAAAATGCAGGCTTTATTTATAAAAACTACTGAGGAAGGAAAAGGGTGATGACAATCTTCCCATGTCAAGAGGCTGCATGGTTACACAGCTCAGCTAGGGTGGGAGAAGCAGGTCCAGATCTCTTCAGGGTATTATCCAAAGCAGAGATTCAGAAGAGGACCTTCAGAAGGAATTTGCTTAACATCACCACAGTATTGATGTCTATGTATCTCCTTTTAACACTGAAATACCCACAGAAACTGAGGCTGAGACTTAGGCTAGCCATCCTTTGGCAGCACAACTCAAGCTTCTCCTTGCACCTCTGCCAAGAAAGATGGCCATCCTTCCAGGCTTTCTGCTCAAGATCCCAGAACAGAGAAGCACACTTCATACTCACCAAAGTTAACAGAGAGGAGACGCGTCTCTGGTTCTGGCAGCATCAAACCCAACATGCCCTACACCATTGGCCAATGCAAGATTCATGACTCTAGCTCCATCATCAAACCAATACTGACTCCTGCACCCTGCAGGATGAGGCCCCACTGCTTACACCTCAGCCTCCCAGCAGCCGCCAGGAGCTCACCTGAGTTACACGGACAACTCAACCACTGAGCAGCAACAATCAACTCAGTGAGCAATGGAATTTCTACGGACAGGGAAAAACTCAGAACACTGGGCAAAAAGACTGCTTGTGCAGACAGGGAAAAATTTGCAGTTGACACAAGGCTTTTGCACATCACTGAAGCTCAAATAACTGCTAAATTTGGCCCAGAATACCTTTTGCTTGGTTATTTGCTGGCATCACATAGGATTTTTTTTTAATACATTTACAAACCGTATCTCTTAGCACCAACAACCTCAGCAACACCAAGGAATTATGCTGATTCATCTCTTCTGAGGAGCTTAGTTTAGTTGATGTCAAAGAGCCAAACCCATCCCAGTCATTACAAAATTTACTTAGCTAATGTGACCGGCCAAGAGCTGCATCTGCTGCACATGCGGTGCAGTCCTTCCCGGGGGGACTCACCTCCTACACAAACACTGCAGAGCGGGGAAAAGATCTGGATAAATGCCATCTAATTGCATGGTGATTTGTCTACATCTCCCTCAGAGTCTGGATTTGATTTCAGACCTCTGAATCCACCTCTCCTCATATCAGCATTGCACAGGAAGGTCACAAATTCAGCGATACAGCTCAGGTCTGAGGCTGAGGGGGTTTACACCCTGATCTTACCCATAAGACTAACCCTATGCTTAAAGCAATGCAAGTACCAAAGCTCACAGGACCAAGGCTTGACTTTTTTCTCCAAGGCAAGAAGTTGCTTAATTTGCCACTGGTTTACTCAAGAAGGTAAGTGTCTTTTTTGGGGGGGTAGCTCTTGTCATAAATTTTGACTATGTAACATATTTTCAGAATGCCATTGCTATGGCTGCATTCAGAATATTTTCAGAATGCCACAGCCACTTTAAAAAGCATCAGTGAAACTAATATTAAAAATGACTTACTGCATAATTCATGTCCTTCAGAAACCACTTCTTACTCAACTGGAGAACCAACCAGCCATGCATTTTACATCACTTTCTCATTTCCTTAGAAGCAATGTGTTACTTTAGGGAGAAATTCCACATGTTTGTGCTTCACTTTAACTTGGACAAATGCAAAGCTCTCTAGCACATTCCCCACATGCTAATTAAGTTCAATGTGATCATATGGGGTGGGAAGCAGCAGTTTGCCGGGTGTCATGGGAGGCAAACTCAAGATTTAGACCAGATTAATTATCAGGCTTAATCAGACTAAGGGAGGAACTCTATCGTAGGTACAAAATGCTCTACTTAATTTTCGTATTTGTTTCCTTTGGATGCTTCAACATAAGAAAAACAGTGAATGTTACACAAGCATTGGAGAAAGCACTTGGGAAACATCTAGCACAATAAACAGAGGAATTGATACAAGAAATAGAATTGAGAAAGCTTGTGGCACACACAGTCATGGATAAACCTGCTTCAGAGCATCCTAAAAATTCACAGCCACAGAACTGTGGGAGGATGGCCCATCCCTGAGAGCTGTCAGTGTGAGAGTCCCCACCACAGCCACCTCCAGAATCTCCCTTCTGCCCAACTACCTGAGCTGAGGGACCCCAACTCCCCAAAAGCCCTGTAGTTTTATTCACTTCTTAATTTTTCCTTTCACCAAGGCAGAGTAACTGTCACATGTTCCACTCAGTAAAGATGGATCATTCACTCCAAGTAATTAATTAAGATGGACTATAACTTTAAAATACTGGTTTAGAGAGCCCGTACACTCCAGCTGAAACTTAAGCCACACTCAAGGAAAACGTCCCTCCCACACGCTTGGCATGAGATGATTTGAATGAGACAATAAGTAGACCCCAAAATCCCGAACTGGGAAGGCTATTTTTCAAATAAGAAATCCCGTTTGCAGGCTTTTATTATGGCACAGCACTGCCAGTGTTTAAGATGGAGCAGGGCTGCCCACGTGCCCAAATGTGGGTCACACAGCAGGTGTGTGGGGCAGCCCATAGGTGCAGCACTCCTTCCACTGCAGCATGTCCACCTGTGACACCAGGCTGCACTAACATGCACTTCAGGAAAGCAACGAGCCCTCCCTTTCTTTTTCAGTGTTCAGCTGACACTCCTTAATGTAGGTTATACAGAAAGGAAATACTGTAATACTTTCTCAAGTAATTTGAGGAATGGAGACTCAGTGCCTTAATTAAGGTTAAATAATCAAGTTCAATTTCTTATAATTAAATTTAACACCTATCAGAGTTAATAAGCCAAAAATAATAAACCACATGAGAATAATGAGAAAGCCAGTCCAGAAACTCCTAGAGTGAATAACTCAGTTATTCAAGTACCAAAATCTGGCACACGTGCCAGCAGGAAAATGGACAGTTGGAAGACTCATCTCCATGAGCAAAGTCAACCAGGAAAACTGCAGGAAAATCAAGGCAGGGTAAATTCTAGCTTCAAAGATTTTCCAAGCAGAAAAACATCTACCTTTAGGATTTTTTTTCCCATTAAGTTTCATGAAGACTGCAGAGTTAGTGTAGGAAGGGTGAAAATATTCAGGAATGAAAGGATTCAATAAAGTGCTTGTATAAATCACACACACATAAGGACATACAAAAAGGACATTGCAGGAGAATATTTTCAGCAGTCTTCATTCTCAGTGACACCTTGATGAGCCACACACATGGCCCTGCAGATCACTGCAAAGGCAGGTCACCACCATCAAGCTGGTCAGAGTACACTGTAGGTGTACACAGAAGCAACTGCCACTGTTACCTGAAAGGTCCCTAAGAATCCAAGGCCTAAAAAAACATAACCAAAAACCAACGCAAACAAAATATTAAGAGGAGTTGAGGCATCCGAGAGCTTGGTTCACTGCCTTTTTGCTGACATTATATGCTATTTTTTTAGGATATTTTACTTCTTCCTGAGAAGGCAGTGGTTTTAATTACCAGAAATATGGTGTTTGCAGTGAGCTCAGAACTGTGCCCTAGAAATCAGCAACAAAAATTTTCAGCTCTGCCTATATAAACACTAACTGATTTTTCTTTTCTGCTCTATCTTGAAAATTACGATGTCCGACAGATGACCCCTTCTTGTTACAAACCCATGCAGAGAAGCAGCTACACGCCTTATACAAAAAGCAATTCACATATGCTGGTTTAGTACATCAAATACTCTGCGAGTGGATCTGTTTAACTACCAGCAATAGACATCTGCGTTCATACGGCTGTAAAAATTACACCAAGATGAACAACTTCTTAATCAAGGTATTTCAATAGTTTGTGTAAGCTATGCAGAAATACAACTAATTGCGTTCAGGACAGTGAGAGCAGGAAAACTGTGCCAGAATCAGGCAAACCAGTGATGCTGTGGTTGCTATGTCATCAAAACATTTACAGCAGATCTCACTAGCAGCGCCCCACAGCAGGAGGTGTGCCATCAGACATTCATATACATACTGACACCTCTGCATGTCACCCAAACAAGTCTGTACCAGGGGGTGCACCTTCTGCTTGCCATTTCCCTCAGCCATGCATGCTGGTCATGACAAACAGGCATGGAAATGTCCCATGTGCTCCCTACTGTAATCCACGCATCTCAAAGAATAATCACAGCTAAGTGAAAAATTTTGGAAATCTGTATTACGGTCCATGCTGGCTAAGCCTGTGCATCTGTTCAGCAGGCAGGCAGTAACTGCTGACCATCACCTGCCTGCATCACAGATCCAAATCGCAAAACTCAGCCATGCTTGCAGGAAGGCTCTTTGATGGCTCTGATGGCTCAAGTCAGAAGTTTCTTTTTTCCTCCCCCTTAATATACTAAAATCTCTCAGTGTTACCAGAAGAGTGCCTCCATCAGGCATTCAGACACAACTACTGCTTAACTCTTTTTTCATTCCCATCCATGCACACCTGGGACCTGCCACAACAGATTGTACTCCTAAATTCTCCTACTTCTTCCTAATTAATGTGGAACAGCAATATGAGACCTGTTTCTTGTGGCTACAATAGAGGCGGTGCATCATCTCCTCTAAGTAAGAGGGAGAGCTTCTGTCAGCAGACATCTGTCTCCTTATCTCCTCGAGGAGCTACTGACCCTCCAGGAGATGAGGAGGTGCAGGATGGGCAAGAAGGGGCTTGGTGGAGCCGGGACTGAGATTGCAAGGCAAAGCTGAAGAGTGGGAAAGGCTGCTGGGCATGGCATGTTGGGGCTGAGCACTAGTGAGAGGTGTGTGGCAGCCCCTGGAGCATGGATGCAGGAGTGATGTCCACCCTAGTCACAGGAGAGGAGCGGGAGCTCTTATGTGAAG